CACTTGGACATCCTCCACACACGTTAGAACACCACACATACTCAACTTTGGGCGTTTTGTATCAACACACTTAGACATCCTCCACACATTAGAACACGTGGTTCAGAGCGTGCTGTTTTTTTTCATGAAGTCTATGGATATCCAGTCTTTTGATTTAGTGTTCATGGAGCAACACGTCCTCAACTTTCATTTAGCAGTTTTATTTTTTCCTTTTTGCTATGTTGAAACAATGATAGCCAATCATGCTCGTTGCTTGGAGGTCGACGTTCCAACTGCAACGAGATAGCTATAGTTTTATGATTATTCCATTTGGCTTGTAATGCCAGCCTTTAGATAGAACATAACTCTGGATTAATTTGCTTCCACTGTTATACAGTTGCAGAAAATGAGCAACAATATTCCAACTGCTCAATCTTCAGAATTATTGGAAGAGACCGTGGAATATGACAGCGAGTCAGAGAAGAGCGGAAATGAAAAGGATGAAGGCGAATGTCTCCACCCGAAAGTTAGCGACGGGAGAAAGAGGAAGAAGGTTTCGAAAAACCACGACGATGAAAATGGCGAAGAAGAATCCAAACCCGCTGTTGAAAAGAGGAAGAAGAGAAAATTTCCTTCAAGAGAGGAAATCTCAAAAGCTAGGTGAGAAAAAACTGGCTGATCATTCCTAGCAGAGTCATTTCGCCTCGAAAGCTTGTTCTTATAGAAATAGGGTCGTATTTTATGATTTTTACGGTTCATTTCGAACTCTCTGCAGGGAGGAAAAACGACAAGCTTTGAGGGAAAAGAAAACTGGGAGCAAGAAAGAGTAAAACTCCGAAATCCAATCATTTGAGGTATGTGTTAAGGATCAAATAGTCGATATATGAGGTAAATCTCTAAGAGAGTAAAGTTTTTTACCATTCATTTCGAAATCTCTGTAGTGATGAAAAACGACAAGCTTCGAGGGAGAAGAAAACTTGGAGCAAGGAGGAGTAAAACCCATAATCCAATCATTTGAGGTACGTGTTAAGGATCGAATAGTCGATATACGGGGTAAATTGAGCAACTAGAAGCCTGGTTCAACTGTGGAAAGAAAATATTAGCTAAGATTATGAAATGCCCAATTTTGTTAGCTAAGATTATTCATGTAGGATCTTATTGTCACACATTTGCTTTATAATTTATATTTTTTATGATGAATTTTTCATTCTTTTATATTACCTATGATTTTGATGAATCCATGGTGTGCTCCCTTTTAACTTCCTTGAAATGCCAATTTGCTTATAAGCCCTTGAAGTTTACAACTTTTCAATTTGTGGCTTTTTTATTTATGGTTGAAGTGTATATATTTTTAAATATGGTAGAAATTGTGGATTTATATGTAAATTTTCCTTAATTAGTGGATATTTTTAGTATTTTTTTTATGGAAAAATATCTATTAGGATAATTGAGAAGGAAATATTGAAAAATGTTTTTAGCTATCTAAATCAATTAATATTTGAAAATATTTACTTTGATAGAAATAAATTTTTATTATTTAAATTTATTAAAATTGATATCTTATAAATATGAATTTAATATTCTAGAGTAATTGATATTGATGCTATTGAAATTACATTTTTGCTATTTAAGGAATCTTGACTAAGATTCATGCAGCGATCTTGATAAGATATTATGCATTCGTTTATCGAGTATGAATATCGACTTAAGAGTCTAATCTAATTAAGTTATTATGCATATGAACATTAACTTAATTGTTATACTCGAGTCATCTCTTTGTTGTTTTTTTCAAAGAGTACTGGGTAATTCAAAATTTTGAGTTAGTTGAGTTGGTGACTCGAGTAATTTGAGAAGAACTCACAACCTAACTAAACCCTTTGGGTTAGGTTGTTGGGGTTGGTGACTCAAGTAATTGGAGTAGAACTCACAACCCAACTAAACCTTTTGGGTTAGGTTATCGTATACTTATTACCAATACATATTACATTAATAATTAAAATAACTCAAATATCAAACATTTACAGGTTTCAACACTTCACCATCATCAATTATAAACGTCAAATATTTTTATTTTTCGTAATAATCTCAAAAGAAAAAGTTAACCTGCTAACCGATCCAAATTTTCGGTTTATAAAAAATACAATCCAACCCAAACTGAAAATAATACAACTTTATGATTTGGGTTAGGTAGTTCGGTTGAGTCAAATTCTCAAGTCATATGAACCCCTGTACAAAAAAATACCATGACTTTTACCCCATTTTCCAAATAAGCCTCATGTGCCAATATAGAAACATACGTTACGAGCTCGCACTCTTATAACAACAAAAAAATAGTGTCCGACAACAAAACTACATCTTTTAAAAATGAAAGAGGTCGCCAATGACACCATTATAACAACAAAAAAAATGGTCGGAGACATGTATTTCTCAATTATTTTCAGTTGAGAGTTGACTCATTCAAACGAGAGTTTATCCATAAATTAATAACTTTCGACCTAAACTAAATTCAACTGATATAAAATATGTACTTTCAATGTTCTAACCTTCCACAGTACATATTATTAAATTAAAAAAAAAAACAAATTGATAAATGTTGATATAGATTTGAGTCTCAAAAAAGTCAACAGAAGGAAGAGGGCAAATAAATCAACCTAGTAATCGGCCATTCTTCTCTACCGCTACACCTTGACTTCTCACTTCCGCCATGTAAAAGCGACCCCTAAACCCCACTCTCTTGCATTTGGAGGCGGAACCCATTTCCCCTTTCCCTCCCAAACCCCTAAATCATGTCTTTCAACAGAGAAAGAGACGACCCTCTTTCCTTCGCCGCCGCAAACCCATCTTCCTCTTCTTCTCCCGTCTCCGTTTCCGACCCTCGTGATACCTTTCTCTCCGACCCAAATTCCCACATCGGAAGTGCCTCCGGCAGCTTCCAAAATGAGGGTCTTCTCTCTGATTTCACTGCCAATATCAGTGATGCCGAGTTTGGATTCTCTCGCCCTGAGTTCCGCCACAGCCCACTTGCTGGAACTGTGGATTTCTACGACCGTCATGTGTTTCTTTGTTACAAGAATCCTCAGGTTTGGCCTCCTAGGATTGAGGCTGCTGAGTTCGATCGCCTCCCTAGGTTGCTATCTGCGGCTGTAATGTCGAGGAAGGGCGATATGAAGAAAGAAGTAGGTGTTTATGTTTAATGCCCATTAACTGTTTGTTGTTTTGTCTGCACTTTTGTCTCTTGGGTTCTTTTTAGTTTTAGCTTTGGAATTGGATTTGCTCTGTTCTTGGAGTGATTTGGGAATGTGGGTTTTGCAATGTGGTGGTTTTTGTGCTGTTTGAGGTGATTTTCGTTGTGGTTAGTGTTGAATTGTTTAAAAAGTGGCATGACGTCTCAGCATTTCAAACGTGTTCTTATCGTTAGGAATCATGAATCAATTGGATCTCCACAATAGAATGATATTGTCCACTTTGAGCATAAGCTCCCGTGACTTTGTTTTTGGCTTCCCCAAAAGGCCTCGTACAAATAGAAATGTATTCCTTACTTATAAACCCGTGATCATTTCCTAAATTAGCCAATGTGGGACTCCTTCCCAACCATCCTCAACAATTCTCCCCTTGAACAAAGTACACCATAGAGCCTCTTCTGAGGTCTATGGAGCCCTCGAACAGCCTCCCCTTAATTGAGGCTTGACTCCTTCTCTTGGAGCCCTCGAACAAAGTACACCCTTTGTTCGACACTTCAATCACTTTTTGACTATGCCTTTAAGGCTAACAATATCTTTGTTCGACACTTGAGGATGTATTGACATGGATAAATTAAGGGCATGACTCTGATACCATGTTAGGAATCACGACTCTCTACAATGGTATGATATTGTCCATATGGACTCCCTCCCAACAAAGTAAAGTAAGGAGTTCTTGTATGATTCCTAACACTTACCCCTCTTGTTTCATCACGAGAGTTTAGGAGGCAATTCTTGTGGGGAAAATGCTGGCTTTTGCTCTAATGTTGTTTGTTTCTGATTTAGATCTGGCGGTTTACTGAATATATGAACCCATAATGGTTTTGAGCGTACATTAGAAGAAAGCAAAGAGAAGAAGGTTTGTAAATCAGAAAGCAAGAAACGAAAAGATTATCAAATGTGTGCTTTGTAATTTTGTTCTAACTATGACAAATCTTTGTTGTAGGTTAATAAGCTTCTCTTTGTTCCTGTCTTTAGCTAGATTTATCACTAACATAGTCAATTCCTCTTAGAATATGCATCCAAATGCTTCATATTTTTACTTCTATATGTTCAACATTTGGTTTCTTCTGGAAACATTAGACCCGTTTAACGATATGTGAGGGGCACGACGGAACCGAGACATCAAATGGGGATGTTTTGATCTTCCCAGACATGATAAGATATAGGTCAGTTAGTTGTGCACCTATTTTCATTCTGATGAATTCCTTGCTTATTCTTTGCCGTGATGATGCAAGCACCCACTGTTTTTGAAAAAAATTGTAGGAGGTTGACCCATTTTGATGTTGACACATTTGTTGAAGAAGTTCTTGTGAAGAATGGTGAGTGGCAGCCTGGATCTCCTGAAGCATTGAAGGGTTCATATGTTTTTGTATGCTGTCATGGGTCCCGAGATCGTCGGTGTGGCGTTTGTGGTCCTACATTGGTCAGTCGGTTCCGAGATGAGATAAAATTTCTTGGTCTTCAAAATGAAGTATCTGTTAGACCATGCTCGCATATTGGGGGCCACAAGTATGCAGGAAATGTCATTATATTTAGATCAAATGCCAATGGAGATGTCAGTGGGCACTGGTATGGGAGAGTTATCTATCCTAAGTGATACTTCTGCTCAAATTTGATAACCGAACTTTGCTCGTAAACCCGTTACAGTAACAAGACATGTCTCTCATTTTGTTTTCAGGTATGGATACGTTTCCCCTGAAGACGTGTTTTTATTGCTTCAGCAGCATATTGTGAGAGGGAACATTGTAGACGAACTTTGGAGGTATGTTCTTTCTTTGCACTGGTAACTCTTATAAATGTTCGGCAAGTGTCGTTTTAGATTAAATTTCGATCATTTTCACTCTGTTTATCTACCGTGAACTAAGTCATTTTTGCCTTCCATATTTAGAACAAAAGGGTAAATTTTGCATCATGTTATTTGATCTTTAGATATGAGTTTGTGCAGAGAACTAGGTGAATTTCTAATGCTGATGTGGTTTGTTAAAATGGTTAAATTACCGTTTTAGTTCGTAAGGATGTGACAAAGATCGGTGATGAGCTAGTGTCTTTCAAAAAGTGTCATACAAGGAAATGGTTAACATCTAGTAGCGACTTTGGGATAGTGTCTTTTAAAACATGCCATATAAGGAAATGGTTAACATCTAGTAGCGACGATGGGATAGTGTCTTTCAAAACATGCCATATAAGGAAATGGTTAACATCTAGTAGCGACGATGGGATAGTGTCTTTCAAAACATGCCATATAAGGAAATGGTTAACATCTAGTAGCGACGATGGGATAGTGTCTTTCAAAACATGCCATATAAGGAAATGGTTAACATCTAGTAGCGACGATGGGATAGTGTCTTTCAAAACATGCCATATAAGGAAATGATTTACATCTAGTAGCGACGATGAGATAGTGTCTTTCAAAACATCCCGTATAAGGAAATGATTAACATCTAATAGCGACGATGGACTAGTGTCTTTCGAAATGTGCCATATAAGGAAATGATTAACATCTAGTAGCGATGATGGGATAGTGTCTTTCGTAACATGCCATATAAGGAAATGGTTAACTTCTAGTAGCGACGATGGACTAGTGTCTTTCCATATAAGGAAATGGTTGACATCTAGTAGCGACGATGGGATAGTGTCTTTCAAAACATGTCATACAAGGAAATTGTTGACATCTAGTAGCGACAATGGGATAGTGTCTTTCGAAACGTGCCATATAAGGAAATGGTTAACATCTAGTAGCGACGATGGACTAGTGTCTTTCAAAACATGCCATATAAGGAAATGGTTTACATCTAGTAGCGACAATGGGATAGTGTCTTTCAAAACATCCCGTATAAGGAAATGATTAACATCTAGTAGCGACGATGGGTTAATGTCTTTTAGAACGTACCATATAAGGAAATGGTTAACATATAGTAGCAACGATGGGCTAGTGTCTTTCAAAACGTGTCATAAAATGAAATGATTAACATCTAGTAGTGACGAACATATTTTGATAGACTTCTCGAAAATATAGGGATCAAAATGAAACTTTTAAAGTGTTAGGAACCAAGTTTAAACGGATCCGAGGCTACAAACAAACAAAATGGTTAGATTAAATTACTATTGAACATTCGGTTCTAATCCAATATTGTAAATACTCACTTAGGGGCCAGATGGGTTTATCAGAGGAAGAACAGAAGCTGAGCCTAGAACGAAGACTTAGCATAATCAGTGGTTCAAATGGCCCTAAAAGCAATGAAGAGCTGACACAAATCCAGACCAGTGATCCGAACTCCGATCACTATAATTCTCGTGTCGATGTTGTATCCTGCTGTCAGGGACGCGGAGATGGTTACTCCTCTTGCTGTCAGAATCCCGAACTCTCAGGAACAATAATCGATTCAGATACAAACGACGACGTTCCTCCAAAAGTCGCAACTGCAAAGAGCAGCAACAGAAAATTAACCTCACGAAGCAATAGCAGCAAATCATCATCCCGTAAGGTTTGTGCAATGCCAACATGGCTCGAGAGCTGGGAACGCGAAGATGCATACGCAGTTGCTGCTGTTATCTGTGCTGCTGTGTCGGTTACTATTGCTTATCGCTGCTACAAGCAGCTATAAAAACGTCAAGGTTGTAGAAGCTTCGTGTTTAAATTTTGCTTGTGTTTGCATGATTTCGAGTCGCTCGTAGACGAGCTTAAGATATATGAACTTAGGATAATCTTTTTTGTTTTTCCTTCTTTGGAGATCTCTTATAAACTTAATGTAAGTCAAATCTCAGTGCAGATGAATGGAAAATTAAATTGAGTTCTTTATGTATAAATGGATACTTGTGTGCTTCAAGCTTCAACTAAGTAGACCCATTGTGTTTGTATTGTTTACTAGACCCATGAACTTGACTCGCCGAGGGCTCGTGGCTATTGCTCTTATAATCGATATTCAAACCGCTCTTGATTCTATGATAAGTATTTTTTTTAGATGAATGGGGACTGAATTGTAAATTTTTTTAAATAAATAACTCGAACAAACCCAATTTAAAATATAAGAACTATTTAAATCTAATAAAATTTTCATTTCTATTAAAAATTTTAGAATTAGAAAAATAAAATGAATCAAAATTTAAAATATAAGAACTATTTAAATCTAATAAAAGGATATGTCAATTATCTCGTTTGTATTATTTACCGGACATGACATGCCTATATCATCACATGGTTTAATTATTGCATATGAGCAACGGACACGGTTGAATATGCAGTGATTAAAAGATTCATCTAAATTGTAAAAATCTCAATTTGCTTTCGAAAAAATGTGAAGATTCTCATTTATAGAGTCAAATTACAATAATACCCTTTAAAAATATCTCAATTTGCTCTCGAACAAATTTGAAGGTTCTCATTTATAGAGTCAAATTACAATAATACCCTTTAAAAATATCTCAATTTGCTCTCGAACAAATTTGAAGGTTCTCATTTATAGAGTCAAATTACAATAATACCCTTTAAAAATATCTCAATTTGCTCTCGAACAAATTTGAAGGTTCTCATTTATAGAGTCAAATTACAATAATACCCTTTAAAAATATCTCAATTTGCTCTCGAACAAATTTGAAGATTCTCATTTATAGAGTCAAATTACAATAATACCCTTTAAAAATACTCGTATTTTAAATAAGATAAAGATTACGATATTACCCTCCATTTTTATAGACATTTTAAAATTGTCATTTTTTTAGTTTTTTTATTTTGAAAAAATTAAGTTTATATTTACTTTTTACAAATGTTTTTAAAAATCAAGTTATGAAAATTATAAAAATAATTTTTAAAAATTTAATTTTGTTTTTAGGAATATTTCTTTTTTAAAAACTGTGAAAATTAGAAATTAAGAGAAATTAAAAAATTATTTTAAGTTTTGGAAGCTTAAAAAATAGACTAGAAAATTCAAATTTTATTTAACGAGAATAAAAACAATAATTAAAAATAAATAAATAATATATATATAATGAAATTGTTATTTAATGGCTTACTTCAATTTTCTAACATAGTTTAAATAATATATTAATTGCAATAGTTAATTAAATTAGATATATTAATTACAGCAATTAATTAAAGTTAGGGCTCCATTTTTTTTCCAATTTTTTTTGTTTATATTATTTTTAATAGATATTTTTATTATTTTTCCAAAATTGAAAAAAAATTAGATTTATTTTTTTAATTCATATAATTTTCCGAGACCTCGATAATGTATGCTTATGTCACGGTGTGTATAATCAACTAATATCAATATTCATCGAAACCATTTAAATATATTAAAACATAAAAAGACAAAATTACAAAAATACAACAAAAATAAAAGGACAAACAACATAATTCTAAAAATACAACAAAAAAAAAAAAAAAAAAAAAGAAAATATAAGGTCGGTATTAAAGTCGATATATTTTCATATGTTCGTGGGAATTCTAGAAAAATCTCTATAAAAAAAATGTCTTATTCTCGAATAAAAATACTATTTATTTATATAAAATTATGAAAATATTTAATATAAAAAATAGACAGCTTATTTTGAAACAGGACCCCAAACAGAAACATAGATATTTGATTCCGGAATATTTCATTATGCAATGCTAAACACAAACACAGACATCTTATTCCCGAACATCTTATTATTCAACAATAAACACAGAACAAACATTTATTATTCAACAATAAACACAGACACAAACATCTTATTCTCGAACATCTTATTATTCAACAATAAACACAGACACAAACATCTTATTCTCGAACATCTTATTATTCAACAATAAACACAGACACAAACATCTTATTCTCGAACATGTTATTATTCAACAATAAACACAGACACAAACATCTTATTCTCGAACATGTTATTATTCAACAATAAACACAGACACAAACATCTTATTCTCGAACATCTTATTATTCAACAATAAACACAGACACAAGCATCTTATTCTCAAACATCTTATTATTCAACAATAAACAGACACAAACATCTTATTATTCAACAATAAACACAGACACAAACATCTTATTCTCGAACATCTTATTATTCAACAATAAACAGACACAAACATCTTATTATTCAACAATAAACACAGACACAAACATCTTATTCTCGAACATCTTATTATTCAACAATAAACACAGACACAAACATCTTATTCTCGAACATCTTATTATTCAACAATAAACACATACACAAACATCGCATCTTATTTTCAAATATAAAAAACAAAAACATAAAACCCAAACTTCAAAAACTATATAAATAGGAGGTTACAGAGCTTTTATTAATGATTGAGAGAGAGAGAGAGAGAGAGAGAGAGAGAGAGAGAGAGAGAGAGAGAGAGAGAGAGAGAGAGAGAGAGAGAGAGAGAGAGAGAGAGAGAGAGAGAGAGAGAGAGAGAGAGAGAGAGAGAGAGAGAGAGAGAGAGAGAGAGAGAGAGAGAGAGAGAGAGAGAGAGAGAGAGAGAGAGAGAGAGAGAGAGAGAGAGAGAGAGAGAGAGAGAGAGAGAGAGAGAGAGAGAGAGAGAGAGAGAGAGAGAGAGAGAGAGAGAGAGAGAGAGAGAGAGAGAGAGAGAGAGAGAGAGAGAGAGAGAGAGAGAGAGAGAGAGAGAGAGAGAGAGAGAGAGAGAGAGAGAGAGAGAGAGAGAGAGAGAGAGAGAGAGAGAGAGAGAGAGAGAGAGAGAGAGAGAGAGAGAGAGAGAGAGAGAGAGAGAGAGAGAGAGAGAGAGAGAGAGAGAGAGAGAGAGAGAGAGAGAGAGAGAGAGAGAGAGAGAGAGAGAGAGAGAGAGAGAGAGAGAGAGAGAGAGAGAGAGAGAGAGAGAGAGAGAGAGAGAGAGAGAGAGAGAGAGAGAGAGAGAGAGAGAGAGAGAGAGAGAGAGAGAGAGAGAGAGAGAGAGAGAGAGAGAGAGAGAGAGAGAGAGAGAGAGAGAGAGAGAGAGAGAGAGAGAGAGAGAGAGAGAGAGAGAGAGAGAGAGAGAGAGAGAGAGAGAGAGAGAGAGAGAGAGAGAGAGAGAGAGAGAGAGAGAGAGAGAGAGAGAGAGAGAGAGAGAGAGAGAGAGAGAGAGAGAGAGAGAGAGAGAGAGAGAGAGAGAGAGAGAGAGAGAGAGAGAGAGAGAGAGAGAGAGAGAGAGAGAGAGAGAGAGAGAGAGAGAGAGAGAGAGAGAGAGAGAGAGAGAGAGAAGCAACAAGGATGCAAAACGGGGATGGAGAAACGACGCCGTATTCGTTGTTCGAGACGAGAGAAGGGTGGCGACGAGGAGGTTACAGAGCTTTTGCAGCGACGGTCATGGCTGGAATTGCCGTTATTTGGGGTTACAGAGCAGCGGAGATCCCTGCCGCCGGCGACCCTGGACGGTGGCCTTGGATCGGAATCTTCATCTCTGAGATTCTATTTGGTCTCTACTGGATTTTAACTCTGTCTCTTCGTTGGCGTCTCACTTACAACTTCCCCTTCAAAGATCAACTCTCTCTAAGGTACTCTTCTCCCTCTCGAGTTGTTCGGTTTTCGAGAAACTATTTAAGTGATCTCTACACGTAAAAAAGAATTACAAAATTAATTTAATTTAATTTTTTTGGAAGGATTATAAATTATTGTAAGCAGGTACAATACTAAAAAGAATTATTAAATGAATTTAAATTTGTATATAAAGTAAATAGCATATTACAATAATTTAAAATATTTTTATTTTTGTTCATTTTAATCAGTTGAATTAATTTAATTTTTTGGGTGTAAAATACTCTTTTAATTAATTATTGGTGGCATATAGAAGGATAAGACTTTAAATAA